CTAGCTCCCCACTCCATCCAGCTGGGTTTAATTTTAGAAACACAGTGATATCTTGGGGCATCTTTTTCCATGGAATGCAAGTCTTTAAGTAAATAAATAACAGCTTTGTGGAGGCGGAACGACAGCCCGTAACCGCACTGCAAAACACGCACCAAGCGAGTGGAGCCTTGTTTCACTTGCATGTGGAAATACTTTGTACAGATACAGTGGCTGCACTGCCTCCCTCTCCTCGTTCAGCCCCCTCTGGAGCTGGCCATGTGCATTGATTAGAAAGAAATAAAAACACCTTGAAATACCAGCTTTGGAGAAGTGGAAATGAAAACCCCTCCAGCTGCTGGGGTTCAGCTAGAGTTCTCTGGCACAGGTTTGCAAAAGCTATGGTTTACCAGTGATGGGCTGTTACTTGCTGTGCCTCTGCTGCATCTGGGACAGTCCAGAGGGATGTGCTCTGAGGCATTCTCAGTGAGCTGGGAGAGAAATAGCAGGCTATAAAGACGAAGGCAAGAAACTTGTGTTTAAATACCCCTCCCAGTCTGGCTGGCCAAGAGCCTTCTGCATGCAGTTGTATTGCTGATGGCTGAATGTCCTGGGTGTGTCCCTCAAAGTGTGTTTGCTGGCTGGAAAATCCCATTCAAGATGTTTTACCAAAGCAAGAGACTGTTTTCACTGCTCAGGTCCAGCAGCTCTGACATGGCATCTGTTGCATAAGCTGGTGGTAACTCTGTTACCCTGAGTCAGCAAGGGGAGCTCTTAAACTCCCAGTCCAAGCAAGACCTTACCACTATGGCCTTGCTCTGATGTAGGGACTTGGAGATGCACCTCAATCTGCAAGATGAAACAAATGGTGTCAAAATCACCCAGGCTTATGGCTACTTGCTTTGCTCTGCTCCTGCTGTGCATTGCTGCTGCTACTGCTGGGACAAGACAGTGGTGAGATGACAGGACTCTGTTCATAAGGAAGTTGGGTGAGGAGCACCCACCTTGGGTGCATTAGGAGTTGGCAGTATTGCTTCTGGTTGCCTCCTCAAAGCCAAAGGGATGGCTAGACTGTGCCTAATCACAGAAGTATGAGTCAGCTCTGCCAGGGTCTTTGAACCAAGTGGGCTTGAAGTCAGCATCTGTGGCTTGGAAAAAGCATCATGTAGCATCCTGGTGCCACATGCAGATGGGATGCTTGAAGAGGTTTTGCTCTAGTCTTTCTCTCCTAAGATGGCAAACTTACCTTGTCCTTTTTCCTATAGCCCTTGGCAAGAGCATTTCTGGGCAAGACTGTGATAGTTTTGTATGTTTGTTCAGAGCTGGCTGTAGTATTTGAATTCACTGCAGGGCCTGGGGATTTCCAGCTACCCTTCAGCCTTGCTGGTGGCTTCCCTTCCCAGCAGGCTGCAGGGATGGGAGGATTTTCCATGTGATGTGGTTTTGCCTGCTCCTCCTCTGCAAACTACCTGGCTAAGCCATCTACTCTCTTTGCCTTCAGCCTGCTGCTTCCACTGATACCACCACAGCACTGGAGGGAATTTTATTTTTTGCAAACCTTAGTGAAGGTCTTCTCATGTGAGAGCTCTCACTGGGCGAGCTCTGCCAGTGTTCTCTCTATAAGCCCAGGATCAGGGCGGCCCTGGCAGCAGCTTGTCTTTTCCACTGATCTCAATTAAGATTCAGTCTTGGCAGGATGGAGACTTTTGAGCTGCCAGCTGCAATAGGAGAGATGAGGCTTCAGGGGCAGCAGAAATTATTCCCTTCCCTCAGCTCATTTCTTGGATCTGGGATGAGGATGGCCCCAGGGGTTGATCTGCAGAAGCCAAGTGAGCCACATAGAGCTAAAACATTTCCATTCAGTGTCAGGCACAGGGTGGGGAAGGGCAGCTCTCTGAAGTGTGGAGACTGTGGGTGGCAGCTGGAGAGGGGATGGAGGGAGAGAAGGAGGAATGGGTGGTGTAGCTCCACACACTGCCTCAAACAACAGCAATTCCAGCCGTGCTGGAACCGTGAACATGGGGACCCTTCAGTGCCAAAATGACCCTGATAAGGAAACCTAAGTTCATTAAGGCTGCAGTAACAGCAGGTCAGACTGTGCAGCTGAAACCCCTCTCTGCCAGCCCCCAGCAGCAGATGCTGCTGGCCCAGTCTCTGCCAGTGTGACAATGTGCAGCTCTGCTGATGTTGAGAGCTTTGCCACAACGTGCACCAGCAGGTAACTGGCCCAGGGCATTACCAATGCAGCGGCATACATCTGATAGCATGTGTTGTTTTCCAAGCATAATACTAACACAGCTTTACAGTTGCCTAGACCTCCTGCTGTCTCCTCCTCTTCCTCCCCTACCTCCTGTCACACTGCAGTCAAGCTGCCCTTGACTGCAAATGCAAACGCTGCTTTAGCTGGCCTTGCGTCCTTTCAGCTGCGCACCCTGAAAGTATCACGGGTATAGAAGAGAGTGTTTCTGTTGCACTTAAAGACTAAATTCAGGCAGGAAGAGTTTGGTAGTACTGAGAGTTTCTGATTTTGAGCAGGCTCTCCAGAATTTGAGATTATGCCCTCTCTGTTGACAGAGTCATTGATGAAACAATTGTCTCTGTTGCTAATCTGGGGTTCTGGAAGCAAACCAATCATGAGTTGTGAAGCTTTGCTCCATGGAGTAACTGTTGCGTGGATGGATGGAGAGCCAGGGACAGTAGGCAGCTTGCCTGATGGCCATGGCCATGTGAGTTGGGTTGTGCACATGGAGCTGAGCAATGGCTGGTTGGTTGTGCTGCTCCACTTTGAGCAAAGCTCAGCAGTGTCTCAGAGCATCCATCCCATGCCTTCTGATGAACTTGCACTCAGCTGCACTTCACTGCTACTATTTTGGGTACCCTTTACTCCCCAAAGAAGCAAAGAGGATAAGTGCAAAAATAGAGATGCTAAACTGAAAATTTTCTAAACATGGCACTGCCAGTATGGAGGGACAGGGAAAGGTAGAGACAGCTGGATTTGTGTCTCAGCTAGTACTGTTTAACCTTGTTGTGCCCCTGCTGTTATGACAGGGTGCACTGAGTTCATCCAAAGCCCTTCTCAGGCCTAGCCTGTGACAAAGGATTCAGATGCTCCATCCTGTGCCTTCCTGGGGACTATGCCATGCATGCCAGGGGGTTGCCTGCAATCGTCATGACTTTGTAGTGCTCCTCACATCCACTGGTTTTGAGACCTAAATTGAAGCTTTAATCTGAAGTACCAAAAAACTGAAAACCTGGTCAGCCCACTGTGACGACTCCAACTGATTTTAGGTTCCCTGAAACACTAAGCTTTTCTTGGAGTGAGGCTCTGGTAAGTGGAGGGAAGTGAACTGTGTTTCCAGTTAACTAATTAGCAGTTCTGTCTTGGCCAAAGCACACACGATGCAGCAGCCATTTTTCAGCTGTTACAGGCCTGCCTGACTGCTGCTGAGGTAGCAAGGAAGAGCTGAGAGCTAGCAAAGCAAGAAGCTGAGAACTAGCAAAGCGCCAAGGAAGGGGCAGACCGAAAGGCCAGATTCTGTTCAGTCAAATCCCATGTAAAGCTGAGTAACGTCAGCAATTTACAGGAATTACTGCAGGTCACCAGTGGCTTAGAGTAGCTAAAAAAATTAATCCCCCTTTTTAGTGCTCAGCTGTTGTTGCTTTTAGAATGTGGTTTTGAGTGGTTCCCATTCAGAAGAGGTCCCTCCCTGAGGTATTTCAAGTCATGTCTTCCCTCCATACCCCACTCTTCTTCTCTCAGCACTTTCTGAAAGCACTATTCTCTTTGACATAGCTTTAACCTCTTAAAGAATTCTTAGTGACCAGCCCTGTTGCATCCAGTCTTTAACAGGACAATCTGAGGGTGGGGTAAGTAGCATCAGGAAGTTGGCATGAAGGAAAGATAGGCCAAGCTGCCTCAAAGAACGCAGGCTGGATTCGCAGTGAAGAGACAATAACACACAAATGGAGTATGAACTGGGGCAAGTGAGAGCTTCTAGCAGGTAAGAGCTCTACTGCACGTGCACTGTGAGGGTTGCCACGATCTGCAGTATTTGCATTTGAGTTTTGTTTGATGTGCACAGAAGTGCAACTTGTGCTTTTATGGAACCCTTCAGGAGGAGGTGGTGGGCTTGGTGCTTTACTGTGTTCCTTCTGGTTAAGTCTTCAAAAACCTGGTTCCAAATTAGGAAGCAGCTCCTAGAAAAACCATGTAAAGCTTTGCACTCTCATTTCAAGATTGGCAGCATTTGGAATCATAGAGTCACTTAGGTTGAAAAGGACCTCTAAGATCATCGAATCCAACCATTAACCTAATACTGCCAAGTCCACTACTAACCCAGGTCCCGGAGTGCCACGGCTGTACCTGGAAAAAGAGACCCTTTGGAAGTACAGCTGCCATCTCTGCCTTCTTGAAGAGCCCTGGGGGTGGTTACTGTGAACAGCTCAATGGACTGGTCTTCCTCAGGTAGGAACACTCCTTCTTGGTAGCAGGAGACATGACAGCTTTTCAGAAAGCTCAGATGGTTCAGAAGGGGAATTTCCCTTAAAATTTATTCATGATACAGGAGGAACAGCCTTTTACACAGGCACTTCCCCAGACCTTGGTTTCAGTGTGCAGTCACTCAGACTAAGAGGAAGAACTCTGGAGGCATCAGCTCCTTATGTTCCTCTGCAACAAAAAGCGGTGCTGTTACACACAGTCACTGACTCAGTGTAACAGGCTTGTGGCAGAAGCTGGGATAATGACAAGAGGTGATAAATTATGATGCTAAACCCACAAGATTACACAGTTTAGGAACAGCCAGATTGTGATGAGTTTCACTCAACAGCAACAAAAAACGCAGATTTTTTTATAGTAATAAGTTATTGTGAGCAGTCCCTTGCTAATTGCTGACTAATTATTGCAACTTGTAAGTCTGTCTTGGTGCTTGTCCCAAGGTAACTGTTCATAAAAGCTCATGGGTTAAAACATAGATATTCCTTTGACTGAATAAAAAGGGTATTCAAAGTAATGCAAAACATACTCCATTACAACTAGTATTTATTAAAAATACAGTGGACAAAAAAAAGCAAGCCTCCAAAAAGTAGTCAGTTCATCAACATATATTACACCATGGCCCACCCAGGACCACTGAAACATACAGCGCTCTCAACTCATTTCTCTCACAAAATGTTCTGTTGACTCATGCTTGGTTCATTACCTATAAATGTGCATAGTTTAAAGACTTGATAATGTAACATGAGCATAAAATGGCACCAAAGTCAGTTTGCCCTACACTTCCAGCCACTCTCAAACCAACAAAGTAGTGAAATGTGCGTAAGTAGCAAGATGTGCTTGGTGGTCATGTGTGTGCTTCAGTAGTCCCTTGTATGGTCCTGAGTCCTTTGTGTGAGGTTTACAGCATGACAGCAAACTTAGCATCAGCTAGAGAATCATGTGCCTAAAGCATCAGTTTATTACTACTGAGTACATCTAGTTTCCTTTTCACTTTCAAAATTATCTAGAGACTGGGTGAAAGTTTGGGTGCTTTGTGTATGCTGAGTGCAGGTAAGTGCTTGTGTAAATAAGTTAACAGGTTACACATGTGCTTCCTTTTCCTGGCAATTTGTTTCCATGCTGAGCTAAGGAGACTTTTGTGCTATGGGCACAGTGATTTCACAGATGAACACAGTCTCTTGTATTTGCAGGATCAGGGAGAAATTGTTGTTGCTCAGTACGGCAGTGCTAGGTACGCTCCTGAGAAGCACAGTGATATCAAGGGAGTCAGGACTGTAACACTGAATGTAGGTGTACAAATGTTCATGGAATTTTGGCATCAAGTTTTCCAGACTCCTTTCCCTTTCAGCTATAGCTGCTATGTCTGTCACTGTATGTGCCTTATCTCCCAGTGACAGTGAATGAAGAATCAAATTCATTCACCTGCAATGGAAAAAAATGCCTTTTGTGATAGCTCGTGTACAAGATCTGTAGTAAAACCTATTGCCTCCTCATCTTAGACCTGTGCTTACTTTAAGTGAGCACGATGGGTGTTGGCAGTGTGGTATGTGCTTTAATAATGCTCACAGTAATTTAACCTTATTTCATGAGAAGCAGCTACTTGCAAAGCTTAAGATGCCCTTTTTTTTGTAGAGTCTTTGACCTTATTAGAGCTGTCTTCAACTCTGTGCATATGGAGAGGAAGCACCCTGAATCATATGCAACTTCACATAACCCATAAGCAGTAGTAAACTAGTAACACCCTGTTTAAAGCATTTAAATTAACATCTGAAAAGGATCTGTCAGTATTAACAAGAATGTTGAGTAATTTCTTATCTAAGACAGTCAATTATCAAAACTATTTAATGTTACGTGACAGTGGCCACTGCTCTATTTATGGAGACACTCAAGTGCTCCAAGGCCAGAAGACTTCACGAAAGCAAATCAGAGAAACATGCAGGAAAACACTCCGGCCAAGGCAAAAGCAATTACCTTACTCTTTCAAGTGGCTACTAGTATTAACTTTGTTTTATCTGTCAGGACTATGCAGGTTGCTGGTTACTAGGAACTGCATTGTAGAATTAAAAAATTTGGAGTCTTCTAGGGTTTGGTGTAACATCTCTTTCTAAAGTCAGGGAGAGCTGATACCTACTTCTGTGCACAGCACAATTAAGCCCTTAAGCATGCAAATGCAGGGCATCAATGTATTCCAGTGCTAAGGACAAAATGCCAGAACATGCTTCTAACGTTGTAAAACATGTCTTTCAGATCAGCAAAATAATTCTTTCAAGCCTAGAATTCCTGTTTCTGCATCATGTTTTGCAGAGAACTGGGCAGCTGCCATAGGTGACAGAGAGGATCTCATCAATGTCTATAAGTATTGGAACGGGGGGAGTGCCAAGCAGATGAAGCCAGGCTGTTCTTGGTGATGCTGAACAGTAGAATAAGTGGCAACAGAGAGAAGCTGATGAACAGGAAGTTCCACCTGACTATGAAGAAGAACTACTATGCAGGTGACCGTGCACTGGAACAGATTGCCCAGAGAGGTTGTAGAGGCTTCCTTGCTGAAGATACTGCGTTCTGGATGCAGTCCTGTGCAATGTGCTCTAGGATGACCCTGCCTGAGTAGGGAGGTTGGATCAGATGACCCAGTGTGGCCCCTTCCAGTCTTAGCCATTCTGAGATCTTTTGATTCTGTGAAGGAAGGCAGTAGCAATGCAAAGGGATGGGAGCTGCCACCTGACCCTGACTGTTCCATGGTTATAATCTCTGCTGTATGGTGAGGTTCCTCAGCTATGTTCTTCTCACTGCCACCTTCTAAATTCAACCAAGGAGGTTAGGAGAACAGGCAGATAGACAGAATTCTGAAATCTTAATCCTTGTCTTAAAAATAGTTGCCAAATAACAGCACTTTCAGCACTAGCTTCATTTCCAGAGCTCACAGTTGCATGGTGTGATTACAGCAGGTGTCAGTATTTCACAGCACAAAGGAAAAAAATCCACCAAAACTCAAACCAAAAACCTCTGTGGTATAACCACGCATCTTTCCTCAAGCTCATTGTGAGGACACTGAAATGGAGGTATTGGCAGAGCAGAGAAATTTGTCCTCTAGAAAACACATATGGTTTTTAACAGGGATAAGTGGCTTCACTGGTCACCCAGCAGTAAGCTGACAGAGTAAGGCAATGCTGGAGTCATGGGGTTGCTGTACTGTACACCTGCTGATGTCTCCAATCCCACCAGATGAGAAAAAGTAGTTCTGTAAGAGGCTGAACATGAGCAGTGGTCATTTGGAGGGCTGGAGGTATCTGAATATTACCTAGACCCTTGAGAAGTCTCCCCTCTGCCCACCTGTCTTACTAAGCAACTTCACATCTTCGATGACAATGTCATGAGTAACTGCTTTGCACATGTCATACACCGTCAGGGCAGTCAGGCTGGCAGCTGTCAGAGCTTCCATCTCCACACCTGTCCTCCCCCAGGTCTGACAGGAGCTGCGAATCACCACTGCATATCTAGCCTCATCCAGACTCAGAGACACCTCAACATGGTAGAGCGGGATGTTGTGACACAACGGGATCAACTGGCTGGTCAGCTTGGCTCCCTGAATCCCTGCAATCTGGGCTACTGCCAGCACATCCCCTTTCTTCACCTGGTTTTGCCTCACCATCCCAAATGCCTTCTCACCCAGCAGGACCACAGCACCAGCAACAGCACTTCTTCTTGAATCTGGCTTCCCTCCAACATCAACCATTGTGGCCCGTCCTTCCTCATCAGTGTGAGTCAAGTTGTCAGAGGCATGAGGTACCTTGGTGCAAGATCCCAAATCCATGGTATAGAATTCCGATCCTGAACTTGCCTCTTTGGACTGACAGTCCACAGAAACTTGGCCAACAAGAGAAGTGTCAAGGCACTTTGTATCAAATGTGGAGCTTGGGTCCTTCTGGAAGACACAGTAGCCTCTGAGCTGGGTTTGTAGAATTCCTGTTATGTGCCACTGTTGCTCTGGGTGAAATCTTGGCAGGAAAAGTTGTCCTGTAAGCTTATTTTTCATTAATGTTTTCCCCTTTTGTCTGGGTAAACTTGCTCTCAAAGTCAGCCAATGGCTAAATGTGTGGCCCCGCTGTTTTGAATTTGAGGGATTCTGTAGGGCATCTTGGCATAGTGGGAATGACATCAATGCAGGCTCTGGGGAAAAACACCAAAAAGTAACATGAGAATATATCTTACTAACTGGAAAGTTAAGCTGTCTGTAGCAGGTGAGAACCCTGTAAGAGCAGTGCTTGGGACTTCCTGTGATGCAAAAACCTCAATAAGCCTGCAAACATCTACTTTTTTCCTTGAGTTCTTTCTCTTCTCTCTCATCACTTAGTTCCTGCCTTTCCTGGTTTGCTACTACATTCCTCAGGACTCAAACCACTCATTTCAAGGTCCCTGACAAGAAGAAACAATTTACTTTCGAAAAGTATTAACACCGTTTGAGAAACAACAGCCCAGAAACCTTATAGCAACATCACTTCTGAAGAAAAGTGAGTCACAGCATCATTTGAGATCATCATAGCACCAGAGTTCTTTCGAAAGCCTGGCAGCATTAATAGGAAATTCTTACATTCAGCTTCTCAACTCTGCCTTTCCAAACACCTCCCTCCCCGCACAGGCGGCTGCACTTCCGCCTTTCATCTCCTTCTGCAGGGAAGGGTCATGCCAGCACTTGAGGACAGCAGGGACCAGAAGCACTGCATCTGCAACTGCACTGTCTACAAGCTCAGAGGGTGATGGGAAACTCTCATTACTGCCAGTTCTTAACATGTTAATGACAGCTGAAGTTTAAGCACTGGGAAAACCATACTCCCCTCATTGACAGACAGATTTTAAATCTACTCAGAAGTACGTTCCAAGTCGAGCTGGCAGAGCTCCTAGCTGGCAGAGAGGGAGTAGGCCCTCCTGCCCCTTTTCACCATTTAATCCCTTGGTTTTGGCATTTGCATTGGGCTAAATGCCAAGTGTGAAGACAGAAGGAGTCTTTTTCACATAAAAGTGAATAAAATGTTCTGTAAGTAAAGAAAGCAGTATAGAGGTAAGTGGCTAAGCTCCAGTTTAACAGCCTCATTGATAAGCATGTTTCTCTTTTTCTGAAGCTCCTGCTCTCTCTGTTCTGAGAAACATGGAATTAGGAATTTTGTTCAATAACCTCCTTTGGTAGCTCTGGTATTTGGGGACTCCCTTTTCTGCCTATCCACAGGTGCATCAAAATAGCTTCCTGACCCCTCTGCACATTGCTGAGCTACCTCTGCTGCCCAGACCTACAGGTATTGCCTTGGATTGTCCACATGCCAGACATAGCATGGATAAGGTTCTGGTTGTGCCCCCTGTCCCCCTCCTTTTTTAAGAACAAACCAACGAATCTCCTTTTAGCCTCTGCCAAAACAAGACTAATGTACTTAGGACCTTTTTCATCCAGAGTACCCTCCAAACATTCAAAGTACCCATTCCTGAAGGTTAAATCAGCCATTCATTTATTTTTTTTAATCACTGCAATAATTTTAGTTTAGACAAAGGTCCTTTTTGTTCTACAGCTGATGGCTTATCCACTAAAATTAAGATTTCTGTGAGTTTTGAGGTAATGTATTTACCTTCAGAGTAATGGGATTAAATAGACATAAATGGACTGAGTGTAACATTGCTCTGCTTTAGAAAAGCACAGAAAATTTTGCTTATTGCTCCTTTCTTTCTCTTTCTCTTCATAGTGGGACCTAACCTTAATATTCCCTTAAAAATTCTGAATGAAGAGTACTTCTAGATTCCCTGATTAAAGCTGAAGCTAAACCGCCGGCAAGGCATCGTGTCATCAGAAGAAGCTGAACTGCAAAGGCAGACAAGGACTTCCTTCCACAGGGTAAGTACACATGGGTTGAAGCAGGGAAGAGAAGCACTGTTTGCTCAAGTAGAGTGATAAGTAAACAGACAGTAGGCAGTAATACATGCAAAGCATCTTCACTTTTTCTAACAACCTACACTTCTTGAAGTTGTACCTAGTCATGTCTATTTTCACCCAAACTGCTCACATACCTATAAAAACATAGATAATGGTTTTCTGTGTAACATTATACCAAAACCATCTGACAAATCCCATCTCCTTATATTCTATTACTGCACCTGAAGTTCAGTTGTGTTAGCTTCCAACTAGCACAATCCCAGGGGTAGAAAAGAAGGCAGGAGGTACTTAAATTAATGAGAAAATTCCCATAACTGAAGCAAACCCATGAGGAGAACAACCTGCCAAAAGGAATATTTTGGTTAAGGGAAATAGGATACAAACCATATAGCAAAGGATCAGACAACAGCAGTGCAGGGAAGATGCCAGGTTTGGCTTACTGGGCCTAGCAAAACCAATTAGAGATTTCCACAGCATTCACTAAATTTCATTAAATTAATTCCATGCACACACTCCCCCACTGACTGCTTGCACGCCAGTATTATTTGAAGTTTGTAAGTAATTCAAAACACAATTAGGAAATCTCCTAATTATTTCCCATGTGTCACAGTGGGATACTCTCCACTCATCTCCAGTCTCTTCATTGATGCGGTGACTGCCAGCAGTCAGTCTCAAAGGGATATGGAACAGCTAAGGGAGAAAGACCTGGACAGGCTGCCTCTTTCAGTGCATGTCAGACAATGTTAAAGCACTTTTCAGAAGGAAATGGGATGGATCTGATCTGTAGACATCCAAACATTGCTATGAATGCTAACTTTGGAGTGTGGGAATCCTTCTAAAGGCATCTTGAAAAATTATGTAGGACACAGCTGTCAAAAGTATAATATAGTATTTTTCATCTTAAGAAAACCAGAATTTTTCTCCTAATGCAGCTAACACTTGAAACAAAGCGTTCTCCTTCCCATTTTCCTGGAACACAATGCAGCAGTGGCCAAATCAAAAGAGCAAAAGCCAACTCAGAGACAATCTTCTACCACTCACCATGGAAAATGACGGCCCTTTTAAGGGGGGCACCAAGTGAAATATATTCCCAGTGAAGAAAAGTACCCAAGGGTACTTTTTTAAAACTTGTATTTTAAGCTGCCCAGCAGTTAACCTACTCCTAAACATCAGTGGGAGGATGAGAGTTTGGATTTGAAACATAATGTTCATCTCTTCCACCCTTGTTGCTTTTGGTTTTTTTGTCCCTTACTGATAAGGAACAACAGAACATCTTGCAATTAATCTCACAATGCTAACTCCTGTAACCATTTCTTAAGGTCTTTGGGAAGACAGCTATCTTACCAAACAGGAAAACATAGGCATAGAGGAGGTAAAATCACACTGAAGGAGTTATAAAAAAATCACTAAGAGAACCTCAGCAGTGCTACATCACTCATAAACAGAGCTTCAGGCAGAAGGGAGAGTTAGCAAACATCTTCAAGAGATAAAAGAAGGAGCAGAAAAGCTCTTGGTCCACAGGGGTTTCACAGTTATATTTTGAGACTTTGCAGTAGTAAGAGGTAATTTCAAAAGAACAAAGCCCCACAGTTCAGATTCTGAAGTAATGAAGTAATGAGGTGGGAACACTTGCATTTCTGTCAGGTTGCTGGCTCTATATATTATAAGCAAAGTTGAATTTCTTTATTGAGTGATAAAAGTCCATCCTGCATCCTTTATATCTATGTGGCAATATGGTCAAAATTCACCCCAAACTGTCTTATAAGTTACTTTACTATTCTTATGAAGTACAAAGGAAGCTGATAGGAAATAAAGTAGGAAAGCTAATTATCCCTTTGGAAAATGTAATGAACTTTCATAATTTGAGAAAACAAAACCAGTGCTGTCAATTAGAAGACTGGATAAGGTTTGGTAGCGACATTAAACCTTTCCTTCTCTCTCACTTCAGCATGTTAACCACAACTGCCTTTTAAGAAGCCCATTTCTTTGCCTAAACCTAAGCCAGAATGAAACACAAGATAGACTTAGAAGCCTAATCTATTCTGCTTTCCCAAAGACAGAAACCGAACAAAATCATTTTATGTTTTTTACGTACTGATTTGTCACCCACCAATCAGGATCATTGGCCGGTTTTTCATCTGGGAAATGTTAAACATGCCTAGAAATAAAATAAGGAACACATAAAAATCCTGGCTTTTTAGTTGTTAAGTCATGCATCTGGTTTACATATTTAGTTTTCTATTCTTCACAGTGCAACCTGCATGCTAGGAAAAACAAAGCTCAATAAAGACTAAGGGAACTGGAAGAGGGGAATCTAGTCTGGTATTATTTAAAACCATAGTTGCCAGAGTCTCCAGGCATCCAGCTGCTATGGGTCTATCACACCATAGAACCCTTTCCCAGAAAGTTTTCCATAATGTGAACTACAGTCTACCTACTATAGAATTCAAAGAACTTGAGACTATCTTGTTTCTCAACAATAGTATTTGACTGTACTAGTTCAATAGAGAAGTTGCTAATAAGTGTTCCAGTTCAAAGAAGTTCAGTCACAGAAGGTCCCAGAGACAATACTAAGACTAACAAAAACTGGAAGAAGACAGTGTCAGGTAAATGCTGCTGATGGCAAAATGCCGTTAGTACACTCTTCCCCACCCAACCCCTGCTTTCATAAATAAATGGTCTAAAACTAAAGGAACCAAGCCCTCCACCCCTTCCCTTGTGTTTACAAGGCACTATTTTATCAGACCAATGTACTTTTCAAGTTAATTGACGCTCAGATTTAAAGGCTACCTTTAAATTTGTTTTACACATTATGAAAAAAGGGGAAAAACAACTGTTATTAATCTGTCAGAATGTGCAAGAAAACAAAAGGGCCAAAGCATGTTTTTAGTGTAAAGGGGATTAATCCATGATGATAAAGCCAGTTCATGTACAAGAGGTCAGCATTCCCAGCTGCAGCCAGATTACAAAAATACAGTTAGGTTCAAGATGTGACTGTTTATATTAATATAAATTCAGAGAAGACTAATATGGCCTGAGAATGTGACTGCATCATCATGGACCTTGTGTACCTTCTGCAGAGTACTACATGAGTGCCTACAAACTTCTGCATACTTGGATCAACAGCTCTATTTAGCTTTAGCACTTCTTTTACTGCAAACTAATTTTAAGAAATAAAGTGATCCAGTACAACTGCTTAGCTTTACACTTTGCTGTTGTCATCATGAGCATTATTTTGAGGACAAAAGTCAAAATCTTTCAGACAGTCTGGATTCTAACTCACATGGATGGTTATGAGTACCAGGACATTTTTTTCCCTAGTCACTGTTGTTATTTCTCAGTTACAACAAACATACCAGCATGCTGTTTCTTTTTTCTGCCCACTGCTGCTCCAATGATTTGAACCAACTCTTCCTCTGAGGCACCAGACCGTAGGTGATCCCTCAAGGACACTTCTGAATTCCCAAAAAGGCACACCTGCAGCCAACCCAAGGAAACAGAAGCCAAGAAATGAGAAAGAATAAAATAAATTACTTTTACAAGTATTTTGTACTAACCTCAGAGTCAAGAGCTTTGAAGAGGCGTACCCTATTGAAGGGAACATTTATGGAGATTGTTTTCTTTATCTCTCCTCATGTGCACACACAGACCGCCTGGGATGTTTATGCAATCTAAGCTCATTGGGCCTTCAGGCTGCCTCGGTCAGCTGACATTCAGCAGCAGCACAGCTGTTGTCAATATCAGGTGACAATACATAAGTGCCAATTTTTAATTGAAAACTTTAATTTTCCCCCAGAAACTGCCAGTTTCAACGTGGCAGGAAATGGTTATCCTCCCCTTTCTAGAATCATTGAGCAAATGTACAGGCTGCTCTTGAAGGAGAAGAGTTGCAAGATGTTTGGGAAACAAGACATGATCCTTGTGGAACGCAAAAGCCAAGCCCTCACAGCTGCTTGGATCCTTTTTTAATGAGAAATCATCTGCTTGTCACATGTTTAAGATGATTTTGAATCAAAGATTAGAATAAATGTTTATATTTACTAGTCTTGCAACCATGTTTTACAACTGAAGTTAACTATGGTAGCAAAACAGAGAAACCAAAAAAAAGTGATGTAACATCTCCCTAACAGCTTGACAAGATGGAACAAGAATATATACAGGATAAATAAACAGGAATTAGCTGGTAATAATTATGTGTCTTTACATCCCAGCTACTTTTATGGGATGCATTTCAACACTATTTTCACTGCATGAAAGCAAAGAGAGTCCTGTTTCACTACCAACTTTTAGGTTCCCATCTGCTGTTATCCTCAGCCGATTGCAGGATCCACAGAAGTGCTCTGACATGGAGGTGATAAAGCTGATTTGTCCCTGGAAATGTGGCACCTTATAACTCTAAAGAAATCGAGAGGAGAAAAAAAGAAGAATCAAACATAGACTCTTAATTTTTAAAGCTCCACTTGTCCAAAGACTGGAAGACATTTTTAACACAGATTTTCTTTAGTTCTAAAGTCATATGAAAGAAACAAAAAAAACCAATTTCATCAGGGGTTCCAGTCTATTCTGCCCCGTTCCTGGAAATTTCCAAACTTGTTAAATGTTTGCACTTGTAGTTATCAACTAACAGGTGATGCCAGTAGGCAGCATAACACTCAGGCAGCAGCCATGAGCTAGAAATCATCCATGTGACACTATACACTCTAAAGCATTAGTTATTTCACTGAACAGCTGTTTCATGAGCCATGTTAATGTGCAGTCATAGACAGACAAAAGTTTCAAAAGGTGTAAATACAGGATATAGGCCTGCCAACTCTTTATATCTGACCAAGGCATCTAGGAAATACATTGTATTTGTAAAGGTAAAAACTATTACTAGCATTTATTGAGTGTCAAACCACATGCAGGCAGTCTGACTAAAACCCCAGATCAATGTTGAACTTGGCAGAATTTGGGGATCTGGGGCAGGGAAAGAATGGGGGCACGTTTCACATGTTCTTTGTCCAACCCCACCTTGGCTGTGCTGGAAGTTTCACAGGGTAATCTCTCCAATTCAGGCCATCGCTGTTTAATTGTATCAAGCATTTCTTTGTAGCTCACCATCTTCTTAAAGTTCCATTTATTGCCTAGAATTAACAAAATCAGTGTAACTTCAGACTGTGGCTTTTATTTTTTTAATTAGCAGAGAACCACCTTCACATTCTCCACAAACCTCATTTTTCCCTGTAGGAGTGCCAGCCCAAACTAATTCTGCTACTAATTGTTCTCCAGCTCAGGGAAGAAGATAAGCTGCAAAAAATAAAACTTCTGGCAATTTCTAATTCACCAAAAGAGCTTCACAAAACTTCCAGAGACAAGTCCATGGGGCGAATAACCACCAATGAGATTCACCTCTGCCTAAGGCACACTCCACACCATGAAGAATCTCAAAGCAGGAGTACTTACCATCAAAGGGCATGTATTCTATGAACCGCACATCAATGGGCAGGTCCTTTGTAAAATCTACAAAGTCCAGCAGTTCATCCTCATTCAAGCCTCGCATCACCACACAGTTTACCTGCAGGTAAAGCAGACACCTGAAATTAGTGAGCAGAGTACTTCCCACTTACACAAGGTTTAACAGTCCTTGCGGAAGGCAACATAGATAAAAATAATTTTATTTTTTTTTAAATAAAAATTATGAGAGAAATTGGCAGGATTGTAATGACATGGATGATAATTTCTGCCTAACTAATCTAAGTTTTTGCTTCAACCTAATTAAAGTTGTTAAAGTTGCCTTGCTAAATGGAAAACTAACAAAAAAGCTAGGTAACACAAGCATTGTCTTACCTACCTAAGGTATGGCAGCTTTTACTGTTTAAAAGGACAACACCACTCCCCAGTCCTACACTGTATGGCTTCCATAAAAGAAACAGCAAGTTACCTTCTATAACACTCTCTATGGCAGATCATAGGCAAATTCCCTGAACTGGGAAGCGTTCACGGCATACGCTAGAGCTATAGGCTGCAGGATGACTAGCTCTTCCTCCAAAAATGAGGTTAACACTGAGTTTTTCACACATTCCTCATAAACAATATTTACATTGGAGCCTCAGGTCCTCTGTTTTATCTGAAGAACAACAGATAGCTGTGGAGTTGCTAACACTTCTGTTAGCAAGGCAGCCTTGCATGTCCAAACACCCTGCATCACAGTACTTAAGTGCTTTCAGAAAAGCCTAAAACCAAGTTTAATTTTAAATGTTTTTCACAGCTCTATACCTAAACCACTTACACATAACAGAATTTCCAAAGCACTCAGGAAACAGAAGGGACCCCCAGCTGCAGAACTGCAAATAGCTGACTTAGGGTGGGATTTCATGTTACAGTGAAATTGGTCTACCTGCACCCTCAAAGGAGGACTCAATTTCCCTTGCTCTCACATGGGCACTCATAATAGTCTGCTGTAAGAAGCTAAAGGAGATAAACCAGGAGAAAATCTCTTTTTGCAGGGTAATTCCTGCCTGTTAACTCCCCTGGCCGGGTTCACAGCTGGCTCAGTGTCAATTCAATAGAGAGGGTAGGAGGAGGCAAATACAGAGCAGAACCATCCTGTAGCCTGCTGCAAGGCAATCAATAGGCTGAGGTAGTATGAACCTGTACCCTCAGCTGCACGAGGAAATGAGTTTCCCTTGTTACTTCTTGGTGTGATCTTCAGCGTACTAAATTTTTTCTTCAGTTTTACAAGAAATTATTCATGGGGTGGAATATAATAAATTCCTCATCAGGTGAACTGTATGTATGGTAAAACATAACAGTTTGAGCGAAAATAAATTCTGGCTTTACCTTAACAGGGCGATAGCCAAGTTCAGTGGCTTTGTGGATTCCTTCCATTACCTTGTGAAAGCCTAAAATACAAAAAGAATGAAAAATAATTTTCCTTGTTTAAAACCAGAATGCAAAAGGAGTTTATTAAGTAGAAGACAAAGAGATGACACATAAAACCAATCTGATTCAGTAGACAGGGCTGCAAGTAGGAAGAGCTGCAAATAAATAGACTTCAGTTATATATACACCCCACCCTCACAACTCCCAAAGACTACCACTGTTACTGCGCTCACGTCACTGAGATCAGTATTTAACTGGTATTTGAGTAATCAAGAATATTTGTATGGGTTTTTTGCATCTTTGGATATCCATGTATTATTAGCATAATACATTCTCCACTTCCCCAGCTTTCCCCCTCAACTTTCCTTCTGTTACGTTCTTCTTAAAGGAAGTGGAAAGAATTTATGAACTACCTCCAGATGCAATGAAGAAAGAATAATAAATTAATGTTTATTTTATAGTAATGGCTTGTGTCTTTGCTGCAATGGCAGAATCTCACTGTTCTGAATCAGTTAGCAATATTGCTAAGTGAATTTTAAAAGGATTTTTATAAAGTGTATATGGAGTAGAGTGGGTTTAGGAACAAACAAAAGCCCCTTGATTCCCTGTTCAACCCTGGTTACAGATGTAATTGGCTTCCCAAAGCTATTGATTATCCATTAGTCTGAAGATCACAGGCAGCACTTTACAGGATCATAATTTTATGACTAAAAATGGGAAATTAGTGAGCAAAACATGGCAGGGATTAGAGCATTTAGGAAAGAAATTCAGTTGGCCTCTGATCCTCAAAAACAAATGAAAGAGGTCGAAAACTACAGTGACATCAAGGAATGAAGTGCCCAGCTTCATCCTACCGTTTGGTGGCCTACACCTTTCAGCTCCTCTCAGACACAAAAAATATATTTGACTCAGGGGAAGTATCTTTGCCCCTACATTTACCTCTTAAAGTTGGAAGAAAAATAAAGCAACAATGCAGTTTTGAAATTCCAAAGTCCTTTAGGAGAGCCTCTTAATTATCTCATTCAAACCACCCCTTCTGTCAACTTTGTGTAAAGTTAAGACCTTTCACAAAGATATCATTTTAGACTTGACATATTATTCCTTCCCTGACACACTCACTAAGTGGTGGAGAACAAAGGTGAATAGTAGCAAGAACAAGACAGCAAACTACCGAGTTCTGAGTGCACAGTGGGTGTGCTCAGCTGTCAGCACCGTGTTCATGAATGTCTCTTCTACCCTGCCAGGTTCTAAACTAAGTTCCGTTCCCATTCTGCACATGAAACTCAGGTGTGAGAGACCAGACACTGCATGAGACTAAGCTGCAGTCTTCAATAGCAAAATACTTCACACATGCTAGTAAAAGGGCAAAATGTTCCAGAAGTTTGTGTTGACCACCCCTGTGCTGTTCCTAGTCATATGTTTTTCTGCATAGGTCCATCACTCACCTTTCCCTGTCTATTATCTACTGGAGACTCAGACTCTCTAGTGAAGAGATCATACCTTCCTTAGTCTGTAGGTATTTAGCAGAAATAATCAATAAACCAACAGTATTCTGTGCATACTTAATATTGGATGAGTTTAAAGTCAGGGGAAAAAAAAAGGAGAGAGACAAATATTTCACTTAACTGCTCTCTGGCTGGTAAAGACATTATAAAGCGTGGGCACAGGAAAGCAGAAGATATAATTGTTTTATAAGCCAGTCCTAATGCTAGTCCTGGCTGCAAAACAAGAGGTGAAGAGCACAGAGAAGACAGTGAAGTAAGTCTTGCAAGCAACTGTTTGAAGTTACGACTTGTCACCTTTCTCAATCATCACCTACTTGTGCATGTGCCCAGAAAGTTTGCGGCACCTGTGGTAGATCTCATTCCAATTAAGCAAGTTTGCAGGCAGAATGTGGCAACAGACATAATGATACACTGCTGTAAGCACAATCCAGAGCCATGAATGGGATCAAAAGTCTCTGCAACTGCTCAGAAAATCTTACATGTAACCTCAGCATTGCAGAAAGGTGAAACTGAACATAATTAAAAGGCCAGAAGCAACCACTGGCAAGCAACAGATCAAAAACTCCACATGTTTGAAACCTCTCATGCTTGGGCTCAGCTCACTGCAGAGGTATTGAACAGGATTACATCTTGTAATGCATCTAACTCAGTGACCTTTCCAGGTCTGCCTCTTACCTCCTGCCATGCTAGCACATGAGTGTGGTTTAGAAAAACTCTCAAAAATCTCTACAAGCAAACAAAAAATTCAGCTGTTCTGAATAACAACAACTATGAACTTATTTCCATTAAAATATTTTTGGGGCAAGGTGATTATTTAAAACAAAAACTTGTTACAGTAAAAAATTAAAAATCTGTTGTTGCATTTCATATTTTCATGTTAATGCTTTCTGTTTTTTCTCTATAAAAAGCTGTTAGTTCGCTTGTATTGCCATGCTTATTGAAACATCCCTTCTGAATCAAAGTCTTTGTGTGGTAATAGAACAACAAGAAGAATAAAATCAAAACATTTCAAAATATTAGAGCAGAAATGAATACTAGATGTAATTGTGTTGGGAAACATTGTCAAGTTGCAGAAGTTTGCTAAGTTTTTGTTCGATATTTCAAAATGACAACCTTTCTCCTCTTCTGCCCAGTGAAACATTTAAATATTTTTGTCATATTAGATTTCTTCTGAAATCAAAACTTTAGCCAACTTTGAAGGACAGAGAACCTTAGACCCATCCAGAACAATCCTATGTGGAACAACACCTCCCACCATTTAATCCTTAAAACAAGAAAGACTTCAGGCCAATGTTTAAGGATACAATTACAGTACAATATGATCTCATTTTCCTTGTACTGAACAAAAAAAGAAGGCACGGTCTATGAAACATGTTAGACTGGCTACCTGGAAGCAAGCACTTTTCATTTGTTTATTCCTTAGAATGTGGTAGATGGGAAGAAATAGAAACATTATGGTCCTCTAGCAGGCTTTCAGACATCAGTAGAATCTCTGGTGATCTCAGTCATTTCCTCTATCCCAACTGTTTGGAAGTAAGAGCAGATGTAATGCAGGGCACTTGCACCAAAGATACATATTTTCAATGTTTTCTTAAAAGCCTAGAATGACTTTCCAGTGGAGCGGAAAAATTGATTCCAATTTTCTTGAGCTCCCGATAAGCTCCATAATCAGATGACACCTTTACTTTCCAGAGAAGTTACCAGCCTGTAGGAGTCCAAGACCAGGAATCCTCTCACCTTAACAGAGCTATATCTTGTTGGCTCTGGAACTGCCACAGGAGACAGGGTAGCACAGTAGGACAGGCACTTTATTCTCTGCTCATTCCATACTTGGAAATCCCCTATTAAATAAAAACCCTCAATAAAAACAAAAACAAAACCAACAACAACAAAAAAAAGGCAAAACAAAAAAACCTACAACAAACCAAACAATAAAAAAGTATTTTTACATCATTTCAGCCCTTAACCCTAACAAAAGAAAAGAAAAAAAATCCATTACTCAGTGTTACTATTTTTACCTGATCTCCACTTCCAAAAAAAAGTATGATTTGGAGACTTTATTCTCCTCTTTAAAAGTATTGAGTAATAGAAACCTCCCTGTTCATTCTCTATGCTGTTCAGTTGAACAATTTCTCTCTTTGTTGTTAAAGATCCTTTTTTATTTAAAGGAAAAAGAGGGGAAGAGAACATTTATACAAATAAAAATTACCCACATCCCCTAATAACTTTCAGTTTACTTTATAACCAGCACATTCCTAACAGCTTCCAATCAGATATGAAGAGCTGTGGCCTTATAATTCAGGAGCTGGAGGCTCAGGTTTGCCCCTTCAGTAGCAAAAGAAGGGCTTGTTTCTAATGAATGTCACAAACTAGGTAATACTCAAATACAGAGAGCAGAAGGAAAGAGCATAGTCAACACCTGCTTGTGATTAGATACTCCCAGATACCACTCTGGGAGCCAATTCTGCCTTGAAACAACCAGATTAATGCAACAGCTTATGCTGGAAGGGTAATGCTCCAGTCAGATTTATGACAGGAACAGATTTCTGCATCATGATATAGAAACCTGAAGTAGTGCTCCTAGAGAGAGCCTTTCTGCATCTGCCAGCAGAACTTCGATTTGATAGCAGTGATTCAAATGCTGACTTTACTTCTCACAGCATTCCAGGTTTTCTACATCCCTACATCTATCTTAGGCTGTTGCACCATCTGGTGGTTACTTAGAGGTTTTGTCTGAATTAGTTCACAGACCGCCAAAGTTACATTACGGGACTGAAAGAGAATGACAGAAGATCCTACCAGTTTTAGTTTGGAAGAAAGCCCAACCATGAAGCTGAACTCCATGATGAGCTTTAGGATTCATTTAAGCAAGAATCTGTAAGACTGGGCAAATCCAAGCATTTTTGAAACTTCATGTGGAATTCCTTGCTCAGTTGGAGAGAAGTTACAAAGCTAGCAGCCCTCCTCAGATTACCTCAGGCATGGTTTATGTTTATCCCTATTAAAAAATAGCGGAGATAGGGAACATAACTAACCACAAGTGAGACCACTGTTAGCACACCCAAATATAACTTCCAGAACAGGCCACTATTCGTGACAAGAAGTTCAGTTCTTGTGGCATCTTAGTCCCCGGCTGCTATAGGAAGAACATCTGGTTTTGTGAACAGTATGAAAGAAGGGCAGCACACAAGACCAACACAAGATTTGGAGAGTCCTCTTGAGATCTATGACTAACCAGTCACAGTGCCAGCTACTATTGGCAGTTGTAGTCACAGTCTCACTGACTCTGGTGAGTTGAACATCTACTTCACCAGCTCCAACTGAAGGGGCTCTACCTCCCTAAGCATTATAGAAAGAAGGAAAAGAGTCACTATTGAGTAAGCTACTACAGACTGCTTTTCCTAGCCCCAGAAGGATAGCAATTCACTCCCCTCCTGATGTAACTGAGTGTGAAAGATACACCAGACAACTCAGAACATTCTTGCAGGTATTAACACAGTTGCCTTAGAGGATAAGTTTGTACCTTTCCTTCGGACAATGAACTCAAATTTAGCTGGGACCAAAGTATCCAGGCTAATGTTAATGGCATTCAGTCCTGCCTCCTTCAGTCGTGGCAGAAGTCTGGTTAAGTTGATCCCATTGGTTGTGACAGCAATGGTTTTCAGCCCTTCTAGCTTGTACAGTTGACCTAGGAAATAAAAAGTAAAATGAGCACTTTAAAAGAAGTAATTCAACTGTAAGTTACACCAAAACCCTGAAAGATTTGTGAAATAAAAAAGTATCACTGAAGGTGTGAGGAAAACGTGGACACTTCGGTGTTTCAGCCTCCTTCCAGCCATATTGGTTGAAGACAACCATTTTCACACAAATCCATTTCAAAATGTATGAGAGCAGTTTATTGCATGTGAAACGGGTGATGAAGTCCTGTTTTATCAAAATGCACACTAATTTTGTTCTCCATTTCTTAAATAGTTACTTTATTTTTGAAGTAAGGCCTTTGATTTTATGTACCTTCTTTTTCTCGTCTAGCTTTGCAAAATCAATTTTATGTTCTGCAATGATAATAAGCAGCAAGCCAACCCTTTCGCACCTGACACCTGAAGTTGCTGTGTTTCTTTAGCAACATTTATTCTACAATGCTGTACCAAAACCCAGTTCTAACCTAGGGATAGCTGCCAGCATTAGTGACTTTAAACTTCTGAAATAAATACCACATGTAGCCCTAACGAAACAGAAAAAGGTCAACGTATTAGACTATTACAGAGCATCCAAGGCAACAACATCCAAGGGACAAAACACTTGCACTTGACAGCTGAAATATTTCCATTACCCCAGCCAACTGGAGGGCACTTACGCAAGATACTAAAAAATAGCTAACAAAAGAAAACAGCATAAGAAACAGTTAATATCATGAGGCTAAAATTTAGAAAATAGCTGCCTTCTCATAAGCCAAATGCAGAAATCCTCAGCACACCAGATCTCCAGAGGGCAGGCTTTCAAACCTCCAGTTATCTGTACAATAACAAATAGGAAAAACAACTTGCAGAAGCAGAGCCACAGCAAAGTACTTTTTCCTCCCTTCCCCTCTCAGAGCCTCCACCCCAATTATTTAATAAATATTTGAAGAATCCTTACTATTGAGGCAGCTGTAATTACAGCACAAATATTTCATAGTTCCTTCTTCCCTCACTATTTCGATTCTATTTATTCATGTTGATAAGGGCTTTACTTCTGCTTTATCTCATTTCCCAGCTATTCTCAAAATATTCACTCTAAGCTGGGCCCAGAGTTCTGGAATGGGACAAGCCAGGTCAAAGCAAAAATGCTGAAGCTTACAGCAGCAGCAGCATTTTGCAACATGATTAAGAGCTCCATAAAGACATTTGCAAACTGAGGTTATAAGGAAAAGAGCAATCTTTACCAAGAAATACTTTTTTTCTGGCATTCACCTCTCAAAATCCTCCCAAATGACCAAAAATAACCGCTTCCTAGAGGATAAGTGCTGCTGGCCTAATTTTGCCACAGATTAGCTACTAGCTACCCCTAGTAGCCTAGTCTTTGTGAGAGCATAGTATACATACTGCAGCCAAAGGATAGCGCAGGAACATCACTACTTTTGTTTATAGTCTCAGAATGCACAGAGTGCTCAACCTCAGAACAACAGAGAAAAAAAGAGTTGGTACCATACAGGCTTCATTGCTAGAAATGTAAAATGCAAAACATCATGCTGCAGCCTAAATGGAAAAATTAAAGACAGTAGCACCAGCTGTTATTCACACATCTTTCTCCTCATCAGACAAGATACAGGATGAGGCACTGGAAATACACATGGAACCACCTGTAGTAACAAATTGGACAGAAGCCAACTGTGAGAAATTAGAGATGACAGCTTAATGCTAACACCAACAAGTTAAAAAGGACCAGTTAGTACACTTTACCAAGTGTATTGCTCACAGTGTCTTGGTTTCTTGGCTTGTTGACCCCTAAATTCAATAGGGATTAAAGAGACTTCATAACTTTGTAATTCTTCTTGTATCTGTATTAAATCTGTTTGCTGACCTTTGGTCAGTGCTTTAGCACCAATCACCACAAGCAAAAGCAACTGATATAAACTAAGAAGTAGAAAAGGAAAGAGAACAGTTGCTATAATTCCATAGCATGAAAATACAAGATTGTATGTCAAGCTCAAGCCATAAAATAAACCCTTTTACATTTACTTCTCCATTTAGGATCAGGAGTATCTTCTTAAATAGACAAGTTTTTTACATACTCTCCTCCTCCTTAATTGCACCTCTGATTGAGTCTCAAAAAGGTATGTGTATCTCAATACATGAACTAGAAAGTCTACCCTATACCACTTCACTCTTGAAATATGTATGTTGCTATAAGAAGTCATCCAGTCAACCCTCCTCCACCCCGTGGAAAATTATTTTTTTCAGTGGAGATGTGTACATCTCAGACTATTAATAATAAACAGCTATCACACAGTTTATATCCAGTGCTTATTTATACTTTTGAGTATCCCAAAGGAGATGGATTCTACATTCCACAATCAGGAAAGTCTCAAACATATGTTTTCAGCAGTCCCCAGGACATAATTTAGCTTTCAGCAAGTGTTAGTTGTGGACTCATAGTTGATATATGTGCATGTATTAAAAGATTTTAAATAACTTAAGAACTGTAGTAGGTTGCTGAATACCTTGGTCTCCTCATGGCTAGGCTTCGCGAACGAAGATTTGGTCTCCTACAATAGCTTCAAATCACATTTGTTCATTGGAACAACAAAAAAACCTTGAATTTGAGTATTTGAAAAATTTAGTAATAGTAATCCAGCATTAATATTTTTGAGCTTTACTGATATTTCACAGACCATTTATAGTTGAGAGAAAGGTTTGCTGAAAACAAACCTAACTTAAATCTCAACCCCATTCAGCACCTGAGATATTGTAGACAGCTTCTATAAACCACCTAGAAAACAAGATTAACTCTATCCCAGACCAAAGCAGTACCATGTGCTAAGATGGCTTCAATAAAGGTGCTCTACTCAAATTCTGCAGAAGACATTTTTGGGCTGTTTTTTCCTTCAATGACTTTTCCCATACTTGTTACATTGATCTATTTAGTTTTGGGACTTTTATCTGGATCCCAAACTTGGGCACCATAAAGTAACACCAAAGGCTGAGAAGTCAGAAAGTGTTTATAGATTTAATTTGCCAACTTTCAATAAGTCTTAAAAAAAACCAGCCAGGCTCATACAAACCCATGACAGAATGAACTAAGGCAATGGGACAATCATCTCAACATACATTACCTTCACCCCAAAACTTTTGTACTCCATTTAAGTGATCACTATGAATCCGTCAAAGTTCAGCTGAGAACTGTAACAGAGGCAGAATAACGAAAACTCATTGGTTCAAAAAGATCCATCTTTCTCTTTTGGGCACAGAAATAAACCTTTGAGAATTCTATCTTTGGAGTAAAACAAAACAAAACAAAAAGATTTCTATCCTTCCAATTCCAATACTTCAGAATTGCAGCAATGCAATAATTATTTTGCAGTGACCTGACTACTCCACTTAGATCATCAACATCAGAGTAGCTGTGTTGAGTATAAAAAGTCACTAGCTAACACTGATAAATAAAAAAGATGCATACACCAGGAAAGAAAGTTCTACACTGAACTGATAACATTGTTGATTTCAACTAATTTTCATGCCAATACTATATGCTGAACTGTAAAGCTGTATTATATTTTAAATTGCAACCTATTTTATAAATCTGGCTCCCTTTATAGGAGCAAATAATTATACCTATTATCATTAGAAATGGGGAATGACTTCTTGAAAGAAACACGTCTCTCAAAAGGAACATAGCTCTCAATGCTATATAAAATATAACCTATCATGTGTGGGCAAAATGTCCTAGACAATGATATTCCAGAGTTGTAAAAATATTAAGTTAGTGCAACTCCATGACCCCTCACAATCAAGGTTCAAGAAGATCCAAGCCAGCTTACTCCAGCCATACCTTTTCCAGCTATAAACAGGTCAGTTTTACATACTACACTGCTTTGCTGCTTCCTTTAGAAAAGACCATAATGGTGTTCCAAATCCTGAACAAAAAAGAGCGGAGGCAGAGACCAACTGTTTTGTGCATCAAAACTCACTGTATTGCTAGGCAATTTCTCTTCTTTCAAGACCTTCATCTTCCATTTTAACCCTCTCTTCAGTACTTATAAGAGTATACCTGCAGAAACAGACTAGTTCAGTTGTCTACAATACACCAAAGTGCAGCCACCTACATAGCCTTAATCTAATACATTGACACCATATGAAGCTATTCCAATTTTCTTAACATAGGAGACTCTGAAAAGAGCAAAAAAGCACCTGGCTCAAGAAAAAAACCAGGCACGGTCAGTCAACACAATACCAGTCAAAGGAGATAGACTTTTAAAAATTACCCAGTAATTTACTTTCCATTGAAGTAATAGTCTTCATCAATAGCTGTAAAAACATAGGCATTTCCACCATTCCTTATTACACACACAAGTGACATCTGTTATCAAGGTAACAAAACAAACCCACAAATAACAACCCACCTCAAAATCAAAAGGACAGCTTCTTTTGTTTGTAAGAACATCTCAATTGTTCCTCCCTAGTGAGGACCTGGTCACATCAATTTTTGATTTTTCACCCTAAGGCTGCATTATTGCAAACTAGTCTGATAGATGTTGAATATGAAGACAACGCTAAGTTCAGTGGTTGCAATAAAAAGAGAGAGAAATTCCATTCAAGCAGCAAAGCAGAACTGGAAGTTTTCTCAAAGGAACTATCTTGTATTGTTGGGAAAAAGCACCATCATTAAATAGTTGTTCTTCAAGTTGCTGGACTGTGTTAGTAGATAGCTGTAAGTGTAATTCTTGGATCAATATGCACGAAGTCACTCTGAAACATACTGTATTGATTTGGAACTCACCCACAATATCAACCACATCGGGACGGATGAGTGGCTCTCCACCTGTCAGGCGGATCTTCTCTACACCTTCTTTCACAAACAGTCTGGCTAGGGTGATTATCTCCTGAGCAGTTAGTAGCTCTGATTTAGGAGTCAGCTTAACACCTTCCTCGGGCATACAGTACTGACCTGAAACAAAGATTACAGAAATACACAGAGGAAAAAAATAACCAGCAACAATTAATCTAATATTGATGGGCAAAATGCACCAAGTGCAGCTGTCTTTAATGGATGTCAAATGACACCAATTTTGCAAAACTTTACAAGCAATCTCCTAACACTTTCCTGGTTTCCCTCAGAAGAAAACCCAAGACTCATTTATGTGTCTCAAAACTACAATGGATCCACTTTGAAGGAAAAGCTAATCTTATTTCTATCTAACCTGCATTCAAAAACAGACACTAAATTCAACTGGCAAGCACTGGGTCATTGCCACAAACTTTGCAGATGCAGTTGTGGGAATGCCTAAGTATGAGCTCTCCTGCTTACTACACACTTGAGGTATAGCCTGCTTACTACACACTTGAGGTATAGCAAACAAGGATCATTATCCCAACCACACCAAGTCTGACAAAAGACCTGTCACTTCCACTTGTCACTGGAAGATCCCTAGGCTTGCTCCTGGTTCCTCATCCCACCAGCAGCTCAGGTCCAAATTAGTCTATCTGTCCTTTTCTATTACTTTGTGAAGACAAAAAACAGCACAAGGCCAACACAGCAATAACACCCTAACTCAAGTCTTGGCCTTTGCATAATGAGTATAAGAGGTTTGTTCACAGAACCCAGCAGACACTTACACCTGAGGTTGCATTTCTCGGTCAAAGAAATTCGCAAGTAATTGTGCTGACGCCCAAAGCTGTCTGTCAAAAAAGGAGAGAAGGGGGCAGCATGTTCCAGTAGAAAGCGTCCTCTTCCTGGGCTTTGCAACTCCTGTAACAAAAACAAGCCAGTGTTAAATATTTGAACAGTCACCCTGTCAACTTGCTGTATAAATATTAACTTTGAGCTGAACTGATAATTATTATTCCATTTTTCTCCATAGGGACAGCTGCACAAGAAAAAACCCATGACTTGTCTTTATGATCAAAACTGGCCATTTATTGATTAACTTTCTCACTACTTAATTCCATGGAACTGTTCTACAATCTTCCCTGTGCATTTTAAGATACAGCCTCTTTGCCACAGATGGTTCAGGTTTTTTGTCCATGATAGGAGGTTGGTTTTTTTTTCAGTTGCCTGTCTCTTTACTTTCCAGAATCAATGATCCAGGACCACCCTATCTCACTATAACCCCTGGGGTAAATGAAACCATGTAAAAGGGGTCCTCCCTGCACTTCAGCACAAGAGAACTATTAGTCGATGAAACACTGCCATCTCTGCTTGTGTTCCTACCAACTTTCATGTGCAAGATGTAACTGAAATACTGCTAGGTACAATTATGTTTCATGATGTCTTGTTTCTAACAAGGTCTTCCTGTCTAAACCCATATAAAAGAGTACTTCCAAAAAGCTTGTCTGTTAAAAGATGATAAATAATACAGGGCATGTTGAAACTGGAAGAGAAATATATGATTCTGAACACCTATTCAACCTGCATAAAATTCAGAATTTTAATAATGTCTTTATTAACTGTCAGGAAGTGAATATTAAAAGTGATTTCTATTTACAATCTTGGGGTTTTCTTAAAGAGCAATGTAATATATTCTACAGCAACACAACTTTTAGGAAGTATGAGTATTTGCTTTCTAGAATGAGGGCATAGGAAGGATGGGGACCTGCTGGAGCAAGACCAGATGAAGCCACAAAGATGCTCAGTGGGCTGAAGCACCTCTCCTACAAAAAACAAGCTGAGAGAGCTGGGTTTGTTCAGCCTGGGGAATAGAAGGCTTTGGGGAGACCTTATAGCACCTTCCAGTATCTAAACAGAGCTACATGAAAGCTGAGAGGGACTTTTTACAAGGGCATGGAGTGATAGGACACAGGGGAATGGCTTTAAACTGAAAGAGAGTAGCCTCAGATATCAGGAAGAAATTCTTTACTGTGAGGATGGTGAGGCACTGGAACAGGTTTCCCAGAGAAGTTGTGGATGCCCCATTCCTGGAAGTGTTGGATGGGCTTTGAGAAAGCTGTTGTAGTAGAAGGTGTTCTTGCCCATGGCAGGGTGTTCAAAATGGATGATCTTTAATGTCCCTTCCAACCCAAACCATTCTGTGACTCTATGATCACGTTAGGTATCAAAATAAATATCCTAAATTAGTAGCTGCAAACAAATACAGTTTATACCACATAACTTAAAAACATCAGTACCATCAATGCCAGAAGACTGTTGGTTATAGCAAGGTCTAAACAGAGGGAGTCCCATTGCCTTTAGCCCATGAATTTCAAACTACCATGTTATATCTCTATTTTTCTACACCTGTAAAGCACAGCTGAAACCACTCTGCTACTTTTGGAAAATATTTTTGATACCCTAAGTAAAACACACTAGCTGAACCAGCTCTTATCACAGTACTGCAGAAAAGCAAAAGTTTACCATTATACTTTTATCAGCTTGGTTCAGGCACTACATACAAACATCTACAAACAACATAATTCAACCCCTGCCAAGTCTTTTTATCTACTACATCACAGTTAAATTAAAATTTTATAGGAGGCCAATGTAATAACTCATGATAGAGGCCAGCTGCCTAACATCACAAAACAAAACAGAGAACACAAAATAATTAAAGGAACCACCTTCACTGGGTCCTTGTTAGTTAACCACATACAGACATCTAATAGTCAGCCAAGAAAACTAGAAGAAAGCTAAACAACTCCTGAACATACAGTGAATTTCATCTCCAGTGAAAAAACACATAAAAACCCATTTCTGTATACACGGTGTTCACAAAGTGTGTGTGTGTGTGTGTGTGTGAATCAGTTGCAGAATTGTGCCTCAAGCTGAAATCATGCTAACTTGTCTTGATAGGCTGCAGCAGGCAAAGGATTAAATAAAGTTTTGACATAAACTTAAGATGTAGAATGAGGAACCAGACAAATGGGTATTTAAACTGCTCACCTAAGCAAAAGTCATGACGTACATCTAGTGAAAACCAGACCTGTGAAATCCCCAGACATACTAAAATCAGCATGTATGGGATAATGCCAAGGGACCGGGCAGAAACACACAGGGCTGGAACATCAGCTCCCTGGCTCCAATCATTACTAGTAACTATAGGAGTTAACCCTGTACAGTACTGTGACACAGCCCTTGCAAGAAGTCTAGAAAAGGTCAACTAAAATAAACCCAGGTATGCTTCCTCAAAACATTTTATTCTGAAAACATTTTTAAGAAAGGTTTGTGGTGGGTGGAAGGCAGAGAGACCCTCAGTGACCAAATCAGCCAGACAGCAAAGGTTATCTGGGGAGAGACCCAACTTCAGCCATCAGCAGCTGCAACAATTTTGTTTCCAGCTGTGCTAACACTACAGGAGCAGTCGTTCTTGGCAGCGCAATTTTTTTCACTAACTTTCAAATAATCCTTTTCAATTCTTGATGCAAACAGCTTTGGGGTAAAATAAGAAGATCTCTAAAAACATCCATGGCAGTGCGGGGGGGGGGGGGGGGGGGCTAGAGAAGATAAAGGAGATAGAAAGTGGCTATTTCAAACCCCAGAAAGCATCTGTTTACCCGTGCTAAAACTGCAGAACAAGTTTCCATGCAATGGCTTTTCTGCCAGAAGGAAGCAATCCCTTTCAGTTTCAGAAGCAGTGGCCACAACAGCACAGCGGTATGGGGCACAAGGCCAGCCCTCCCCAGACCTGGCCTTCCCTCACTGCAGCACCAAATGGGTCAGTGGCAATCCCTCTGCAGCCACACACTGCTCACCCTTACATGTGTTCTTTCATCTCTTCCTTCTTCAGAAAGCCAAAAAAACCCCAAGTTGAAAATCCCTTGCTTTGACAGAAATGCTGGCTCTCTTGCACTTACTGTGAGGATTTCTCAGAATACAAGCAGGGTTAAGTCAAAGAGCCCAGGTAAATATCCAGACTTCATTTCTTCTTCTTCCTCAGTTAGAAAACTCATCCCTGAACAGATTAAATCTAAAGATATTTTAAATCTATCAAACTCAGAAAAACCACAACATGAAAGTATTTTTCTCTTAAAAACTGTGCTGCTTTCTGGCCTCGTTGGATTTCTGACATTCTCCTTCCTATTATTTTGGAAAGGTGTTCACATTTGAGAGGGAAAGCACTATCATGCTTATTATCTGTGCCCTTTTTGTGGGAGCTCTTCTCTCCTGTTTCTTTCTCAATAACTCTTGTTTGCATCTTTTTCAGGATCCTTACCCACTCCACCTGAAGACAGACTAGTGTGGACCTCCTGTCTCCCGGTTTTAGAGTGTGCATTACAGGGAGAGAAAGAAGTGAAAAGTTGTCCTTCCCGACAGAAAGGTGGCAAGAGAGGGAGATCCAATGCTTGTATATAATGGAAGCCAAAACTGCATACTTGCAAGGACACTAAGATGCTTAAAACAATTTCCTGTTTTCAGAAGGAGCCACCACTGGAGTGGGATGCAGGAGACTGTTCTGTTCCTCGTCTGCCATCCACCCTGCTGTTACAGGCAAAGAAATAACAGGAATAACACTGCCCTTCATTAATTACTCTAAAGTGAACTGTTAAGAAGCAGCATTAAAAGAACAGGCACTCAGCAGGCAATTGGTGTCAATAAACTTTAAAGTTTCTATTGGAAATAACTAACTTTTGCTCTCTGCTGCAACGTAGTGGGTTTTAGAACAGGGAAAAGAAAAACGCTTTCAAAGCTACTAGAACTTCTTTCCATGAGCTTCTTGTTGTGTACAGAGATGGGCTTGTCTGGAAGGGAAGAATGACTGGAGAAGGAATTTTTAAGCTGTTATTTCAGTGTCTGTCCAGTTTGAAGTCAGCACAGAGGAATTAGGAGACACCCATGAGGAATTCAGTAGCACCAACTTGAGCTCCAGCAGAGGCGGATCCTGTATTACCAAAACTGCACCCAGCACTGACTCATATTTTTATCTATACCACAGAAAAGGCCAAATATCATAGATATAAACTCAGCTGCCTTCCTGGGAACTCAGGGCAAGGATGAAACATTCTCTCAGGTTGTTGTGTAAGTATAATTTTCTGAAGGGAAAGAACAGGTTGAGTTTGAACCTAATCACTCGCAGCCTGTGTGAGAGCCATTGGAGCAGGAAGAAAGCAAAAGCTGCCTGCTACAGTTCTCAGGTTACAGGAAAAGGGTTATTCAGTTCCCTGAAATAGGAAAAGGTGGATAGGTATTGGTATTTTAACATATCAGTGCCCAACCACATAACTTTCTCACTCAAAAGGGATGGCTATAACCCACAAGTCTCCACTCCCCTCTCTCCATAGTCAACAGGAGACACTTCTGCACATGGAGTAGTGTGTATGACCTGTCACACAGGTGACAGGTGTGCTTTATCTGATCCATGAAAAAAACAGGTTCTCTCTCTGGGCTGTCAATCACATGTTCTATACCAGTACTGAAAGAATGAGAGCATAGATGACTGCACCTAGCAGCTATATTTTGACAAGCTGTCAACCCTTCAGACCTGCCAATTCACTTGTGATTTCCAGAACTCTTCTAACACAGCAAAATTGGAAGCTGTCACCAGAGGTATCAATAACCACCAGGAACACCACAAACTGACAGATACTAGAAAGGCTCACTTAAAAACAAGGGGGCAGAGAACAGAACTTGAGCTGAAGATCAAGTACCGTCCTTGCTCTACTCTTCTGCCTTCACTTCATCTCCAGTAATATTTGTGCACTACAAAACAGTAATGCTTGCAAACGCTTCTGCACAGGCCTCAGGGACTACCACAACCTGTGTACCGATGTCACTGTTAGTGTTGCCCC